TCTGTGTGTGTGTATGCGTGTGCGTGTGTGTGTGTGTGTCCCCCCGAGTGCGCTTTCAGATCAAGAAAAGCAAAAGTTAGGAAGCTTGAATTTTAGGCGAAATATCCCCTACTTATGTGCGACTCGGCATATTTAAATTCAGCTTTCACATACGCTTAGTTCTCACCTACGCGTAGTTTTAACATAAAAATTAACAACTCGGAAAACACAAAAGCTAGGGGGATAAAATCTTAATGGACTATTTCAAGCCCATATGCGATCCTAAAAATTTGGATTCGACCTTCGCCTATGCTTAACTCATGTGCGAACACGTGGGAGCTTTGGCACGAGATTTCTCACCTCGGGAGCTAGTACGATGGAGAGCTGAAAATTCAGTGTAAATATTATCTCAAGTAAAATTTTGTATGGATACTATCCCTTACCATCTCAAGTATGGGGAACGAAATTTTATTTGGGGGATTTTTAATTTGGGAACCAAGCAAAACAGAAGGCTGAAATTGTTGAACTTTTCTGCTGTGAACCTAAATTTCAAATACAGCTTGCATAAATGCCTGTGCTTCACGTACTCGTTTTTTGCAAATATCAAGCTGTAAATCAGTAATTAATCTTAACAGCAAATGTCCCTTGAAAAAACTGCGCAGAATGCATGGTCGTACCAGCTACCCTAGTGCGTTCCACTGTTTATTTTTTATTGCATTTGCAGGGACAGTTTCAGCGATTCGCTGAGCGAAACTTGTGCATCGTGAAAGTTTTGAACAGAAATGGCAAAAGTGGCGGCTTTGTCTCCCTTCATTCATTTGATTTCGCTCATGCGGTTACTGAAGAAGATCTGAAGAAGAACCCTGCTATTGAGGTACTACATGCATCCGAGCATTCTTCGACCTGTAGGCTAATCATTTTGCAGCACTCATTTGATAACTCCTCTTTTAGCATTTTGTAGGCCGTTTCCTAGCTTCCCATTTTACAAAAATTTGAATGTTGCATTCATTTCCAAGGGCATGCTCGAGCCGCAGCTGGTCAGAACAGCACAATCTGCGCTCTGGTCTCCGTAGTGGTTAATTTTTCGGATGGTTTGGTACTTGATCGGGGTGGTATGCCGGCACAGGTTTCCAGCCCCGGAGAACTTGAAAGTAGGGACTTGTTGTCTGAATTTTGTCTGCACATACAGCTTTGAGTTGTCGCAAATCAATCAGCTAGTTGCAGCAACGTATTCAGAAGACTTTCAGAAAGACTCCACCTTTTGTTGCGTGACACTTCGTTGGTGAAATTCAGTCATTGCACCTAATGATAAATCCGTTTCTTTCCTCCGCCGACCTCATCCCCTCGCGTCCCTCCGTCGCAAACTATTGGTGCTACTGAGACATAAAATTACAGGAATATGATATTGTCAGAAGAACAGTAATTATTTACATGAAAGCGAGATATAGAGAGAGCTCGGCCACGAAACCAGTGCTGTTTCAATGTCAGATTTTGCCGATTCTTACCAACCTATTGATTCTTCGGTACTTGAAACATAAACTATGCTGTTTATAAGTAATCATTTTCTGTTTCAGCTTTACGCGGCTCCGTGTTTGCCCCAGTTACCGGAATTTCCTGTGCCGGCATGCTATGCCCGTATCGTTGATGACAAAACAAAGAAAGAGCTGTTGCAACAAGCTGATGGTGAGCTGGCTGCTGATGAGTCACAGAGAAGTGCTGCTCTGCTACCGAGTATTGAGGAAAAACTTGCCGATATTCGCATTTCCGATGCAGGCGTGGACGCGGATGTTGCCGTGGGTAGCACAAATGTCAGTTTCGATTTCATTTCTCA